CTCCAGTCGTCTCCACGCGTCCTCCCTCCCCGCCTCCACCTCCTTCTCCTGCGCCTCTTCCTCCAAGAACTGGCGCTGGCAGTCCTCGTACAGCGCCTGGTCCATCTCGAGGAACATCTTGCGCACGTTGATGGTCAAGCCGTTCACGGCCTACAGGGAAAGAGGGCGGAAGGTGGAACAGGGGAGTGCCGGGGGGAGGGGGAGGGGAGGACAGGGGGCAAGTGCGGGGTTGGAGAGAAGACAAGGTTACTTCCTCCTCTAGCAACTGGCGTTGGCAGTCCTGGTAGAGCACCTGGTCCATCTCCAGAAACATCTTGCAGACGTTGATGGGTCAAGCCGTTCACAGCCTGGGTACAAGGTGTGAGGGTGGGTTCAGGGGAGGAAGGGGGGCAGAGGAGGAGGGTGCTGGGGGAACAATGAAGCAACTGGCGCTGGCAGTCCTCGTCGATAGACGCCTGCTTTTGAGACGTCTCAAAACTGAACTTCTATCGCCCAGACGCCCCAACCCCCCCATACCATTAGACTGCTTCAGGGAGCACGCGCGTGCAGAGGCAGGAATGGGCGGCTCCACTGATTGGCGAAGAATCGCAGCTCGCTCGCATACCTTTCCACAAGAGAGATGGTAAAATCTGTATACTTGGACCAATCCACGCACTCTTCCTAAGAGCCCCATGTTTGAGCGGCAGCAGGCAGCACAGGGAGTCTACTATGCAAGCCCGAGTGTTAGAGTCACATACCCTGCGCTAAGACCCCTCCCTCACTTCCGACCTTTCCCTTCTGAGTCGACTCAAGAGCCGACTAATCCTCGCGCACTTCTCTTCAGGCCCCCATGCTTGAGCGGCAGCACGGTGACTCGACCATGCGCCTTCCCGTATTCTGCCCCTCCAACCTCCCTCACTTCCCACCTGTCACCTTCGAGTCGACTCCAAAGGCAACTCGTCCTCGCGCACTCTAAACACGCCCCCGCGCTTGAGCGGCAGCCCCATGCCGTGCGGGACAAGTGGCAAGTGAGGAAGGAGCATGGCTCGAATCATATCAAATCAAATACACCATGCTCCTGCCATATTATGCCCTGCCAGCTACCCCTTCCCTCACTTCCCAGATCTCACCCTCCTCCCCCCCGTAGATGATTTTTGAGTCGATTCAAATTTATTATGCCCTGCCAGCTACCCTCTCCCTCACTTCCCAGATCTCACCCTCCTCCCCCCCGTAGGTGATTTTTGAGTCGATTCAAAAATATTATGCCCTGTCAGCTACCCTCTCCCTCACTTCCCAGATCTCCCTGCTTCCTTATTCTAACCTCCCCTCTCACCTGGTTCCAGTGGCTCCTGGCGTTCCTCTCCAGCGCCCCAAAGATCAGCGGCAGCACGGCCGCTCTGTTCTGCGCCACGAGGCTCACGATGTAGTCGTTGTTCCACAGGAAGAGGGTGCGCTCAGCCACCTGCGGTTGGAGGGGATGGGAGGGGATGGGAGGGGATGGGAGGGGATGGGACGAATGCACGACAAGAGGGGTGAGGAAAGGAGACAAGTGTCACAAAGAGCATTCGGCTCTGCTCTGCACCACGTGGCTCACGCTGTAGTCGTTGTTCCACAGGAAGAGGGTGCGCTCAGCCACCTGAGAGAAGGCACGAGTGAGGGCGGGAGGGCGGGAGGACGGGAGGGAGGGGCATTATAACGAGCTGACTTTTGAGTCGACTCAAAAATGTTGCACGGGAATCGGGTGCGCTCAGCGACCTAAGGGGGTGTGAGTGGGAGCTCTGGTTGTTGCGAAAGCGCTCTGGTTGTTGCGAAAGCGCTCTGGTTGTTGCGAAAGCGCTCTTTTCATTGTCGAGCACTGCTGCACTGCAACCGCAGCCGCCCTCGAGGCAACCGAGGGTAACCTACTCGATTGTTTGAAAACGCACGGTACCTTTCTGTGACGTCGGTTCTCACGACATTTTTCTGACACGTGATACACGTTTCAAGGGATCGTGACACAACTCTTTCTCGCAACCCTTGGAGATTCCTTTATGAAAAACGTCTGTTCCGACTACCAGAAAAAAACAAAACAAAACCACCAGTCGTAGTTCACCTGGAAATGCGAACCGTCGAGGCACCTAGCCAACCCCCCCCTTCCTCCCTCCGCGCGCCCGTTCCCTTTTCTCTTCTCACCTGGAAGTGCGAGCTGTTGAGGCACCTCGCGACCCTGAGGAACAGCGGCGGCACCACCTGCTGGAACTCCGCGCCCTGCGTCAGCTCCAGAATCTCCTCCAGCTCGCCCAGAAAGAGCACCTCCTTCTGGCTGTTAGTTAAGGGCCAGTACTTAAGCAGCCCGCGCAGAACCACGTCCGCGAGCGCGGGGTCTTTCTCCACGAACTGAGTGATGCAGTACGAGAGCTGCTGGTGGTACATCGACACGCACTTAGGCTTGTGCAGCGGGATTAACGCGCGGACCAGGAACAACTTGTGCTCCTCCTTAAGAGGCAGCGCGAATCCGTTGATAATACTGCCGAGGATCTCGAGGAGCTCGGCAATCCCGTTGTGCCGCTCTGTCTCGTAAATGAACCGGTAAAATATGTAGTTTATCGACTTGCGGATGAACGGCCGGTGGACCATGAACTTGCCGTATATCCGGTGCAGGATGGTCTTTAAATAGTCGCGCTCTCGCGGATCCTCGGAGTTAAACAGGTCTAGGAGCTTCAGAACGAACGGCTGGTCGATGTACCGTTTCGCCACCTTAGCGTCGGTCTCGTTACTAACTACAAAGCGCAGCAGAAACTCGTACACGATCTGCAGATGCGGCCACGCTAACTCCATATTCGGCTCCTCCTCTTCCGGATCGAATCCTTCCGCGCCAGACGTCTCGTGCGCGGAAGGGGGGAGCGCGCGGAACAGATTCGCGCGCAGCATCCGCACGATGTCTTCGAAGACCACCTCGCTGAATTTCCCCGTGCCGGAGTTGACGTACTCGACTAGTTCTAGGAGCGTCTGCCGCTTAATCTCCTTCTCCTTCATGTTCTTAAGCGGGTCCGCGAAGTCGAACGTGTGACTACAAAGAGCGAGCTTCCGAATGAACAGTGCCTGCTTCTCCTGCGCCGCCACGTCCCGGAAAAGCGGGAGCGGCTCCGCGAACGGCGACACGTTCGGATTCGCTACAACCGGACTCGCTACAGCGTCGTTCTTCTCCCTGTTGAAGCTGCCCGTTCGGTGCGGCGCGCCAGCGGCAGGCGCAGCGCCTTTCGCGGCATTGCCAGCTACTGCTCCCGGAGCCTTCCCTCCTGAACCGGTCCGGGCGATCTGCCCGGCCCCGGGTCCGGCGGGGGGCGGCGCGTGGCCGTGATGCTGGGCGGCATTGGCGGCACTATCGTGAGAGGCGGCGTCGGCTTTATTTCCTGATTTTTTGCGACCTCCTGCAAACGTTTTCTTCACGGATTGCAGCATTGCTACGCGACTATGGCGGGGTTAGTAGAGCTGCCGTCGCTTCACATCTACGTCTGGTAACGAAGCGTGATAATATCAATCAGTGAAGCAGAACGTGATTAAGCCGGCGACGCCACGCGGCAGACGGTGAAGGTGCACGCCCGCGTATGGAATGAGTGAGGGGAAACCTAAAATCCGCGCCGCTGCGTGAGAACAGGGGAAGATGGCAATCGACGGAAAGGGCGGCAAGAGCAGCCCGAACGACGCGACGAAATGCGGAGCTAACCGGTGGACCGTGCAAGGCGGCGGGCTCCCGCCTCCTAACCCTAACGTAGCCTAGTAGTGACGCTCGAGTCTCAACTACCTACGGCTACAGGTAGAGGTAAATACGGAGCGAACGGATTAGGTCACAAAGCTGCTCAGGGGATCAATAATGTAAGTGAGGCGACGCCAGTGCAAAAAATAATCGGCGGGGGTAGGGAGGGATTAGGGAGGAAGAAGTAGATTGGGGGGGGTGGGGGGCCGGGGGGTTTGGGGGGGGGGGGGGGGGGGGAAATGGGGAGGAAAAGGCTCGGAAAAGCGCGGACTTTGTGGAGGGGGAGGATGGCGGAAGGGCTCCCTCGCGATGGCGCGTTTGATTCTGTCTGCACCCACCACGTGGAGTAGTGTATGAGAGCAGAATCCTCAGCAGAATCAAGGGCAGACATCTAGGGGAGGGGGAGATAGGACTTCAGGCTCGGCGCTAATGCTTCGCGGAAGACAAATCGGCGGTGACAGGGCGCGCTTTCCAGTGATTGGCGGGGTTCGTTCCGGACTTTTCTGCGCTCGGCTCGTCTGGCTGGATGAGAGGTTGGTTGGCTGGTTGGTTTCCCCATGTGGGGAGCGCGCGGAGTTAGAGAAGTACTGCACCGCGGTAAATGGGGGGAGGCGGAGGGATGCATGCGGGAAGTTGGTTGAAGCAAATGGTGCGATATCTGCGCTAGAGTATGCGTCGGTAAGGGACTGTGGCAAATTTGGGTGTTCGACGTAGCATGCAAAACTCGTTTCGAAGTCGATCGCTGTCACGGCACTCCCTATGACTGCTGCGTTGGCGCCAATTCTCACGCCCTGAGGGCGTGTCCCGCGCGTACGTTTGATTGCAGTAGGGTAAGGTGCCTCACTGTTCAGAAGGATAAAAAACAAATCTAAAATGGTTGGGTGAGTTTTGACAAAAAACGTACGCGCTGGACACACCCTCAGAAGTTAGACACAGGGAATCCTGCCCAGACGGGAAGTGGTGCAATACAAGAAAGGAACATCACAAAGCGGTTTATCGGGATAGCTTACGATTCGCTGGGTTAAACCTCGGTTTGGTGATGTCATGAAGGATCTCCGAGGAGACTCCCCCGCCAGGGCGCGTGACCCAGCGCATTCGTTTACTATTCTCGGATCAAGGTTTCAGTAGGTTACCTCACGGTCCAGAACGGTTCTCGCCTCTCACCGCTTTGAACCGTCCCGCACCAGACTGGAACGTATGAAGTGAATTGTAAATGAACGCGCACGCCCTCACAGCCTCGACAATACCATGGAACGAGCACTTCAATCTGGATTACTGTCAGCCATTGTCAACTGAGCTCCCGTTAGGATTTGTTATGAAGTTCATAAGAAGCTGAATCGGAGCATTGCCTGACGTGCTCGCGGCACGTATGTTGCTGCATCCTGAAGGCTTTGTCTTTAAAGGTTCCAGCTCGCCAGTGTACGAAGCTGTTCACGTCTTTGCGTCAGTTCAGCTGGCACTTGCTCTATGCGGATGGCTTGAATCCCGGTCGACGTTGTACTGTAACGAGCGGAGTGAGAATACCAACTTGCGCAAGCATCGAACGTGGATCTGATTGAGATTGATGTATTCCTCTGAAACCTGTTGTGCCACGTCGCCAGTGAACGCGCGCCGCTAGACATCAGCCACTTAGGGGCCATGAAGTCAGCTTTTGAGTCGACGCAACGGTTACGTGCAATGCTACCGGCTTTTGAATCGACGCAACGGTTACGCGCAATGTTACCGCGTAACATCCATCGAGCGATCGCCTCGATCTACGACGCCAGGCGAATGCCGAGACTGTCAGGCGTCTTCTTCATCGCGCTAATTTCGCTAGTCTCCTTAATCTCCTTCTCCCTCTGGCAATCCAAGTGCTGCCGCTGCTTACACGGCAGCAGAGAACGAACCCACAGGAGAGGAAGCATCAGCACCAGCATCAGCAGCAGCAGCAGCAGCAGGATCGGGTTTGATGGTTCAAACGACATAAGCATTAGTAGCCACGTCGCGTCTGGTCGTGCGTTACTTAATTCTACGGAGGACGATCGACCGTTCATTTACGTGTACGATCTAGGGCCGGCTTACACTGATAAGATCCTCCAGTTAGAGCCATCGTGGTATTCGCACCAGTACGACGTGGAGAAGTACATGACGGAGCTGCTTATAGCGAGTAACGCCGTGCGCACTGTGGACCCGTACAAGGCGTCGCTCTTCTTCGTGCCGTTCTTCTCGGCGCGGCTCACGCTGTACCACTTCAAGGACTGGGACAACAACATGCGGCACGCCGTGGAAGAGGCGTCCAAGGTGAGGGGGTAGGGGGGAGAAGGAGATGGCGTGGCGAAAGGGGAGGAATGGGGGTGGGGTGTTGATTCGAGGCTCACGCTGTATCATTTCAAGGGCTGGGACAACAACATGCGGCACGCCGTGGAAGAGGCGTCCAAGGTGAGAGGATAACGGGGCAGTGGGGAGCGGGAGGACGGGAGGAACGGAGGATTATGCGAAGAGTGAGGGTAGCTGGCTGTGCAATTTCCGAGGCTCACTCGGTGCCAGTGCAAGGACTGGTAGAGCAACATGTTTGACGCCGTGGAGCGAACCTCCGAGGTGAGAGGATAGGAGGGAGGCGGAGTAGGCATGGCGAGAAGGGGAAATGGGGGCGCTGCTTCGAGGCTCACTCCGCGCCTGTGCAAGGACTGGGACAGCAACATGTTTCACGCTATGGAGCGAACCTCCGAGGTGAGGAGATAGGGGCGAGCGGGCGAGATGGGGGAGAAGGGAGCGGATGGGAAGTGAAAAAAGGGGGGAGGAGGGGGGGGGGGAAGGGGGGAGAGGGTGGATGAGGGAAGGGGAGCTGGCTTTGGAGTTGTTGAAAGGCAGATTTACGTGGAATTCACTACCCCGCTTTGTGTACAGCATTTGAGGAGTACCACTGTGGACCGTTCGCAAGAAGTACCACTTCATCCTTGAGCCACCTGCCTATTTTCCCTTCATCCTTGTTGCTTCCTCAGGTGTGGACGGAGATTCTTACAACTGTGCGCAAGAACTACCCCTTCTTCAACCGAACCAACGGCCGGGATCACTTCAGCATCCTGACGCTCGATCACGGCCGTTGCCACTCGCTCACCTTTGTGGACCCGGGGCTTGTGGGCGAGATGTTCTTTGTGACTTATAACGGGGACAAGCTTGTGAGGAGTATACATGCGAGCAAGGAGCGGAATATGCAGGTGAGACAAGTATTCTAATATGCTAATATGCCTGTAAACCTCACCTGACCTCCCCCCCCGAAGCACCCTACCAAGCATGTTCTTGTGTCGAAGGATACTCCTGGTGCTTTCCCAATATCCATCTCCTCCCTACAGCCCCCCTCCCAACAACTTTCCTCACAACTGCAAGCTCCCAGTGGACCCCTCTCTCCCCAACATCCCCTGTTAGCTACATGCCCGATCGCAAAATTGTTGTGCTTGTGCCCTCTCTCTCGTGGCGAACACCCTGACTTTCCCTTTCTCCTGCGTCTCCTCTCCCACTCTCTTCCCGTCCACATCTCTGCCACCCCAGGCCCTACAATCCATATCTCTGCCACCCCAGGCCCTACAATCCATATCTCTGCCACCCCAGGCCCTACAATCCATATCTCTGCCACCCCAGGCGCCCCTGCAGGCCATCGCATACAACCACAGGTTCTTAGTGAACCCATCTGCCCGACGCCCCCTCCTGCATGCCCTATCGCAACATGATCGTGCCCGTGCTCATGGCTTAAGAGCTGCCCCTGGTGTCGCCGTTTAACAATCCCTCTCCCTGCAACCCCCCTCCCCAAACCAGGCCATCACCTACAACTACAAGCTCCCAGTGGACGCCTCTCTCCCCGACATCCCCTGCTACATGCCCGATCGCGACATAGTCGTGCCCGTGCTTGTGGCGAAAGGGCTGCCCCTGGTGTCGCCCTTTGAGGGCGAGAGGGACAAGGCGGTGCTGTTCAGATTCGGCGCAGGGCAGCACCATGGTGTGCCCATCTGGCACCACGGGCACCAGATCAGGAAAGAGCTGCTCGAAGTAAGTCCCTCCTCACTCCCTTTCCCATGCGCACCAAGAGCTTCTCCGTGCCCTGTTGTCCCCCTTCCAAGGTGAGAGGGACAAGGCGGTGCTGTTTAGGTTCGGCGCAGGGCAGCACCACGGGGTGCCCATGTGGCACCACGGGCACCAGATCAGAAAAGAGCTGCTGGAGGTGAGCCCCCCCGTGCTGCATATGCTGCTGTGCTGCCTGTCCTCGTGTGCTGAAGTCGTGCAGTTAAGGGCTGCCCCTGGTGTCGCCGTTCGAGGGCGAGCGAGAGGGACACGGCTGCGCTCGGAGCTGTTCAGGTTCGAGGCGGGGCAGCACCACGGCGTGCCCATGTGGCACCACGGGCACCAGATCAGAAAAGAACTGCTCCAGGTGAGTCCTCCCCACTGCCTGCTAGCCTCCCCCCCTTCCTTCCCCTCGTGTCTGCCGACCTAAGCCCACCTGGCAGCTCCTAAGCCTTCCTGTGGGGCAACTTGGTCATCCTCTTAGGAGGGAGTCGGCTGAGGTGTGCCAAGTCCAACCACGCCCATTGCCTAGCTCCGCGCTCTCCCTTTTCGGCCCCTCCCCACCAGCTGTACAGGCACGCAGGCGACGAGGGGTGGGACTTGGCGTTTAAGTCGACTCGAAAACAGGCACGAAAGCTATGGGGGTTGGGACTTTCGGAGAAGGGCGAGAAGGAGACGGACCCTGACTGGCAGGTGCGGAGCTCGCATGCACTGAGAAAGGCCAGTTGCATCTCCCCCATTCCGCCCTTCCTCTTGCCATTCTTGCCCGTTCCCCTCCCCACCAGCTGTACAGGCACGCCGGCTACGCGGGGTGAGACTGACGTTGCGGGGAAAGGCGAGAAGGAGACGGACCCTGACTGGCAGGGAGCTTGCTTGCACCGAGCAAGGCAAGTTGCGCTCATTCCGCCCTTCCACTCGCCATTCTTGCACTTCCCCTTTTCCCAGCTGTACAAGCACGCAGGCTACAACGGGTGGGACTTTGCAGAGAAGGGCGAGAAGGAGACGGACCCTGACTGGCAGCGGGCTGTCTTCTGCATCTGCCCTCCAGGGCACTCCCAGTGGACCAGCCGACCATTCAAGGTAGGAATGGGGGTCCAAGACTGCACATAACAGAATAGTAGAAATTATGTTACTATTAATAGTGATAGCGATGCGATTGTAGGAGAGAATTCTTCTGTTCCAAGCCCTCGACGCTTCCCTCTTCACCACGCTAGGCTTTGATGTCAGGGTGCATCCCAGTTACGTTCTTCAGAGAGCACGACAACCCAGGGGGGGGGGGAGGGGTTGGGGAGCTTGGGCCGTTCGATCCCTCAATCCTGATTCCTGCCCCATTCGTCCTCGCATTTCCCTACCCCCCCTCCCTCCCGCTCCCACCCCACTCCAGGCTTTGATGTCAGGGTGCATCCCAGTGACCTTCTTCAGAGAGCACGACAACCCGTGGGGCGACGAGCTGGAGTATTCGTCTTTTTCCATCAACGTTGACCCGGACAACATATGGCAGCTCAAGGAACGGATTGACGCCGTGAAGAACCAGCCTGAGCTCATGCAGAGGATGCAGAAAAACATAATTGGTGTACAGGTGGGTTGGGTACCTCTTATGGCTCTGTCGTCTACAATTATGGTGGTTGTCTATTTCGAGCAATGTGAAGGAATTGATGCACATTTTGTACGGCAGCTTATTGTATAGGAGGGCCAGAAGTGCAAGCAACAACCAAGTTAGTTTGTGTACCCCCCCCCCCCCCCCTCCCTCCCTACCCCACCCCCTGGGCTATGTCATGCGGCTATGCGAGTGGGCTGTTCCATGTGCAGGAATTGTTTCGATGGACAGGAGTTCTTGATCGATCAGCCGAGTCCATGCTTATACGCCGGCTTCGGAAGCGAGCGACCGAGCTTCGACCTTTTCAATTGCAGATGGCTAGAGAAAGGGGAATTGATGAGAAGCTACGCATGACTAGTGGCTAGCATATTGTTTTCAACGATAAATATACAGTACCTAGTTGTGTCATGTGAAGTCCCAATTTTGTAGACTGATACCTGGGACGTTCAGTACAGATCAAGCTGGTGATGCCCCTGCTTCAGGTGCTTCTTTAGTGGCCGGCTATCCATCCGCAGCGCACGTCCGTTCATCTGGCGCCTGGTCTGTCTGACTTCGAAAACTACAAAGAGTCACCACAAGATGGTCGAGCCAACTGTGGCAGAAGGGGTCATTCCGTCCGAGAATCAGCGGCTCTCATTTATCGCAACAGCCATGTCAAACCTTCGTCGTTTAGTCCTCGTCGTCAAACGAAGGTGTCGCATGAAATGGCGCTTTGATTTGGCTGGGATTGCGCGTCGAGATCGTTCGATGTACAGTACACAGCTCCTCGTCGCACGTCAAGAAGACTGAACGGCTGCCAGTCCACCAGACTCAGTCAGCGCCCCCCCAACACTTCTGCCAAGCAAACCCCCCCCCCCCCCCCCCCCCCCCCCCCCACCTCACGCCGAACCAGCAGCCAAAGGAGGGGCACTTTCAGCCGAACCGCCCCAACCGAGCGTTGAAGGCTCACACAGCCTGAAGTGGAGGTTACGGTCAAGCCACGGACGATGGCCAATGAGCTACCTTGTCACACATTTCCAAGCAATCTGCGCCAGTTCCTAGGGTCCTGTTCGCTGGGAATTCAGCGCCAGAGAGGTTTAGGGCAGGGCGTATTGTTCAAGAACAATTACCCGGAATGAAATAACATTAAGAGTTCGCGTTGGGCTCGCTCCGGATTTTGAACGGGTAGAGCTATTGGGGTTTCCGGAATTTATAGAAGTGATATTGCGGGGGGCTCCGGGAACAGAATTCGCTGGGGGGGCAATCCGGCTGGAACTGCCAAGAAATACCCCACCCCACACCCCTCCCCTTCCCCCCTCCTCGAGTGGCAGAGACATTTTTCCGGCTAAGTCCCCAACTTTCATAAACAATCCCACGGAGCCCCCGAACCCAGGAAATTCAGCCAAGTCCCCCACACACAGACATACCGTGCTCCTCCCACCCGCACCACGCGAAACCCAGAAGTTCCGGCTAAGTCCGTCAAAATTAGGAACATTCCTTCCTCGATCATAGTTGAATTCGGCGAAGTCCCTCCCAAACAGAGATAGTCCTCCTACCCACACCCACAAAACTTCAGCTAGTCCTAATTGCAGGAACATTCCTGCATTTATCCTACAACATAGAGTATTTTGCTAAATCTTCCTTAAACCTAGAGAATTTTACACAAAGAGACTCCTCCCACCCAGGCCACCCTAAACGTTTTTAGGCAAATTTTCCTAGTTCCTGGGATCTCCTTAAAGCCCAAAACAAAAAAATCACAGACTAGAAAATTCCTCCTACAGCCCCGCACGCCCACGGAGCTAGGAAAATTTGGCTAAAAACGTTTAGCAACGCTTTCCTCTTCCCCCTTCCCGCAACCCGGAAAGTTGCGAAGGTTGCTGACACATATTCTACCCTACTTTAGCGGGTTTGTCAGAAAACTAGCGGAGGAAAATCACACTCATAACATAGCAAGTCCAAAAGTACTCTCTTTTTCTGGCACTTCGCAAATGTTACCCTGTTTGGACCTTGAACATCTTGACATGTCCGAGTCAATGTTTACTGTAACTCGGCTAAAAGTAACTTTGTATCCGAATCCGGATAAAACAAAAATCAACTACCTTGAAATCCGGACGAATCAGTGTGTAGGGGGGTGGGGAATCCGGGAGAAACAGAGTTGCAAAAAACCTTATCGAGAGCCCTGGTTTAGGGCCAAACAGCATTGAAATGAAGCTTCCCCTACCCAACGACAGGGGCTCGACGACATGAGCCAGTGGCACAGAGGAGACAAGACAAGTCACGTGATAAAGGCTAATTTGCTGGCAGATCAGCAACTTTGAGCGGATGATCTGTACGGTGTGGACTAGTTCACAAAACCCAAAAATAGCATCATTCTAATCCGATACACCACGAAGAGTTCTCAATCATCAACATTAGCGGGGTTTTCTAATATGATTGTGGGGTGGCTAATTTTTCCATACTTTTAAGATGACACACACGCAAATCGCATTTTAGCCAGGAATACACATCAGAATTCGTTTTGGCCCACCACCACTAAACCTATAGCTAGCGCAAGTACCTAACTAGTATGCAACTTGTATACATTTTGCTGTGCATTCTATTATTTCCTTGAGAACTTTAATGAAATTAATACTTGTATCTGGCCTAGATTGAATATGAGGAGGCAAAATTAATGTACATTTTTAGGTAGATTAAAGTGTCCAAAACTGGGAAAAAGATTTATATTATATATAACGGGTTCCCTGAAAGTATAGAATCGATTAAGTGACGAGAATATATATAGGGGAAAGTATACCGGCGTTCAGTATTAGGGGCATCGATAATATCTACAGTCAGTAACACGATATAAACAATCAAAATTAGCGAGTTTGTAACATATTTAATAAGTCGGGTTCCATCGTTAGTCAGAAATAACAGGAAAAAAGGTTTCACGAATGGTCAGTAGAAGTAATCCTCGGCCATCAAGGAATGTTTTCCCGCTCGTGCCAGCCCAATTTCGTCATCATTGCGGTTGGCGCGATATTTTTTCTGAGCTCCAGGCGTAGTTCGAGTGAACTACGTAAAGTATTCTCAAATAAAAATCGTTAGACTTCGCACACCCAAAATTCCAAAATTGAGACCTTGAGCATTTATATTACATAAGAAAATTGGGCCTCAGCGGGTTGCACATCGGGTGCGACATTTTTTCAACATTAACAAATGCAAAAAAAAAACGAAAACATTTGATACGAAAGGGCAAATCTTTCCGGGATCGGTAGTAAGCCAATGGGGCTTGAATATTAAACTGTATTGCGCGCGTGCTAATTTGTTTCGAGCATGACAAGTCTTGTAGAGTCGTGATTCGGCGGATTTGTTTTTGCGGTAAATACATTTGTTGGAAAAATCAAAAGACAACTGCCAAAATTCTAAAAGATTTGTTGTATTGAAATTAAAACAAAATGAAATGCGGTTCTGAGAGTACCTTGACGCGCTTTTAAACATTCTCATTTCGCAAAAAAAACCTCCGTAGCTATCTATATAAGTTTTGTTTTTGGGCGACTCGGGAATGACAATAAGTTTATGGCTTGACTTTTCTTTGGGGCTGTAAATGCGCTACCCTCAGTGACGAAAGTATGTGGTTCGAAACAAAATCGTTTTTTCGTGTTTCTCGACTGACAAATTTCAGATGAATTTTAATTTGGGTATTTTGCTCATTTTCGCGAGTCCGAACCTCCTTGCTCATCTTCGTCCCGCTTTCTGCGGTGCCAAGATTCGGTGTTGAAATTCGTAGCGAACAAGGCCGACATTGATTGATGAGGCCACAATTCCCATTTCGGCAGGTCGCGTTTCGAGCCTCATCTGCAGCCTTGGATTCCGAGCCGAGCGTATTCCAAAATTGGTCAACGGCTTAGCTTACTGGCCCTCGCAGCCAGGTTCGTCGCCTCCTAGCCTCTTTGTAAGGTGGAAGGTTTCGTTGCCCCAGGCCGTGAAAGCGGTTGGGTGCCTAACCTATGGTTTGGACACAGGTGATGGTATGGGTTGGGAAGGGTTTGAGTGCAATAAAGAGAGGTTAATACGCAAAATAACCCTCCTTCTACAACGCATCCATGCAGAGGCAAGTAGGGAAGCTCGTAGAAACATATGGCAGCAGCTTCTAACGTCGCCTGCGCGTGAGCCTCTATTTATGCTCTCCTCCATCCTATTCTATCTCTAACCAAGGAGAGCAGCACCAGCGCCTGTCGTCACTATGGCTGCTTAGGGTCCTAAGGGGGTGAAATGGGAAGCTCCTAAGGAGCTTCTTACATAGCGTCTCCAGGAATCTTGGCAGCCGCATTCCTCCGCGTCGCTTGTCGCGTGGCGCCTATCGCTTTTCCCCTCTCGCCGGTCGCCTGTCGCCTGTCGCTGCCACACTTTGCAGGGCTCGCGCGCGCAGCTCCTCCTCTGCGCCCTTCCTCCCTTCCCTCGGTTCCTCGCGTCGCAGCCTGCGCCGACTATGTTCCTCGGCGTCGCGCATTCATACTCCAGCGTCAGCCTTCCCTCCATGATGCTAACCGGCGGGTTCTCTAAGAAGATGCCAATGCCGCGGTTTAACCTTAACTCCGTCATAAGAATAGCGGCCCTCGTTATGTTCACCGTCGTTTGTATCACGCTTTGGAACTCTAGCGGCTGCTGGTGCTTCAACAAGGGTTCCGTAAGCAATTTGAGCAGTAACGGAGAAGCAGCGAAGGTTATTCCAGAAAACACTCCACTCTTTCGCTCTTTGCGGGGCATCTATAACGCGGATGAGAGCAGCAGCAGCAGCAGCTCCAGCACTAGCAGCCTCCGAACATCGGCAATTTCTGAGTCAGGTTCGGACGGAGGTTCGGACGGTCGCCCGTTCATCTACGTTTACGATTTAGGTCCGGAATACACGGAGAAGGTTCTGGAGTTGAACCCGGCGTGGTACTCGCACCAGTATGACGTGGAGCGTTACATGACGGAGGTCATTCGGGGAAGTAACGCCGTACGTACGGATGACCCTGAACAAGCCACGCTGTTCCTGATCCCGTTCTTCGCGGCACGTTACACGCTCTACTGCTTCCGGTCCTGGGAGAATAACATGCGACAAGCGATCGAAGAGGGCTCGAGAGTCTGGGAGAAGCTTATAACGAGGGTCAGGAGAGACCACCCGTACTTTAATCGCACCAACGGCCGGGATCATTTCTCCTTCGGGACGCTGGATCACGGCCGTTGCCACTCGCTGACGTTCGTGGACCCGCGAGTGTACGGCGAAATGTTCTTTGTAACCCTAAACGGCGACAAGATGGTTCGCAGCACGCATTCGAGCCCCGGGCGAAACATGCAGGTCATTTCGTACAACTACGGCGCGATGATCACGGATCCGACGGTCCCAGACATCCCGTGCTACGCGCCGGATCGCGACATCGTCGTGCCGGCTTTAGTCGCGAATCGGCTGCCGATCGTGCCGCCCTTCGAGACGGAGCGCGAGATTAAAGTGCTCTTCCGGTTCGGCGCGGCGCAGCACCACGGCGAGCCGCTGAAGCACCACAACCGCGACATCCGGAGGGAGTTAATCGAGGTGGGTGGGGGGGAACGGGCATGCAACGGGGAAAAGGGGAATGGGCGCAAGTCGGGGACAATGCGTAGCGAATGGAGCCGCTGAAGCACCACAACCGCGACATCCGGAGGGAATTAATCGAGGTGGGTGGACGGGATGGGCGAGGGAAAAGGAGGGCGTGGGACTTTGCATTTCCGCCCCTTAAGAGGCACGAGGGGTGGGACTTTGCATTTGCAGAGAAGGGCGAGTACGAGACGGACGAGAAGCGGAAGAAGAGTTGACGTGCCCCCAGTATTCCCCTTCTTCATTTTCTCCGTCTCCTCCCTTACCCACCCCTCCCCCTCCCCCCTCCCCCTCCCCCTCCCCCCTCCCCCTCCCCCCTCCCCCCCTACCCCCCCCTGCAGATGTACCGCGACGCGGGGCACGAGGGGTGGGACTTCGCGGAGAAGGGGGAGTACGAGACGGACGAGGAGTGGAAGAAGAGCGTCTTCTGCATCTGCCCGCCAGGGCACTCCCAGTGGACCAGCCGCCCGTTCAAGGTGGGAAGGGAATTGAAGCGTTAGCCACTTGAATCCGTAGTAGGCATGGCGCAATCAGCCAAGGCAGGAGTCAAGAAGTTCCCTCTTCTGCATCTTCCTCCCCGGGGGGCTCCGAGTGTTCCAACCGCCCGTTCAAGGTGGGGATGGGGAGATGAATATGGGAGCACCTATCAGGTCAGAAGGGGGGGGGTAGAAGGGGGTTTGATAGCAACTCGTGGCCTCTCTTCTGTTCGGCTGCCCTCCTCCCTGCTCCAACCTTCCTCCTCTTTCCCAATCGCATCCCCCTCTCTCCCCCAACAACACTAGGCGCTCATCTCAGGGTGCATCCCAGTGACGCTGCTTCTAGATCATGGGAGCATGACAGCTCGTGGGGGCACGATACGTTTTGAGACGTCTCACAACTAACCTACTTTTCCGAGGGCTCGACAGCCCGTAGGGGGACGAGCTCTGCCACTCCCCATTTCCCCGTTCTCACCCATTTCCCCGGTCTTCACTTCCCCCCCTTTCCCCCTTTCCCCCTTTCCCCCTTTCCCCCTTTTCCCCTTTTCCCCTTTCCCCCTTTCCCCCTTTCCCCCTTTCCCCTTTCCCCCTTTCCCCCTTTCCCCCTTTCCCCCTTCCCCTTCCCCCTTTCCCCCTTTCCCCCATTCCCCCATTCCCCCTTTCCCCCTTTCCCCTTCCCCCCTTTCCCCCTTTCCCCCTTTCCCCTTTTCCCCCTTTCCCCTTTTCCCCCTTTCCCCCTTTCCCCCTTTCCCCCTTTTCCCCTTTCCCCCTTTCCACCTTTCCCCCTTTTCCCCATTCCCCCTTTCCCCCTTCCCCCTTTTCCCCCTTTCCCCCTCTTCCCCGGGCGCTCATGTCAGTCAGGGTGCATCCCGGTGACGTTTCTCCGAGAGCATGACTACCCGTTGGGGAAGATTAGTTTTGAGATGTCTCACGAACGACAAACCTACTTTTCCGAGGGCACGGGCAGCCCGTGGGGGGGCGATTACTTCTGAGACGTCTCAAAACTAGCCTTCTTCTCCGAGAGCACGGCAGCCCGTGGGGGGACGAGCTCCGCCACTCCTCATCCCCCCATTCACCTCTCTCACCCGCCCTCCACTTTCCCCCCTTTCCCCCAGGCGCTCATCTCAGGGTGCATCCCAGAGACGTTCTTCAGAGAGCACGACAACCCGTGGCAAGACGAGCTGGACTACTCGACCTTCTTCCCCCATTCACCCATCCTCCCCCCTCCTCCCTCCTCCCTATTCCCCCCCTTCCAAACACCAGGCGCTCATCTCAGGGTGCATCCCAGTGACGTTCTTCAGAGAGCACGACAACCCGTGGGCCGACGAGCTGGACTACTCAACCGTGTCGGTCAACATGGATCCCGACGAGCTGCACACACTGAAAGAAAGGCTGGACGCGGTTCCTGTCAAGAAGCTGCAGCGAAACATCGAGGCGATCCAGGCGAGTGTTGGGTGATCATTGATCCTCAAAGGCAGAGCTGGACTACTGTTGTAGGTGATTTTTGAAAATTCTCAAAAATCACTTCACGGTGTATGTGAAAATGGATCCCCGATGAGCTGCGCACGCCCAAGGGGAGGCTGGACGCTGTTGCAATCAAGAAGCTGCAGAGAAACATCGAGCACATCCAGGCGAGACTACTGGGTTCGACTACAGGTGGGTGGGAGTTATCTCGTTTACACAAGGGTTGGGTTGGGTTGGGTTGGGTTTGGACAAGCTGGACTACGCGATGGTGTCGGTGAACATGGATCCCGACGAGCTGCACACGCTCAAGATCAGGCTCGACGCGGCTCCTATCCAGAATCTGCTGAGGAGTTGGGGTTTTGATCGATGCAGAAGATTCCGAGGAACATTGGACGGATAGGAGGTTTGGGGTTGTGTCGGAGCTGCTCCAGTTGCTCTAGGTGTTTGTTTGTGACGTCTCAAAAGAATCGATTGAGAACAGCATCAGAATCGGCTCGATTCCACTCACCAGAAGGGGCTTTTGAACAGTCTGTCGCTGCTGAGTCGATTGTCTTCAGAAGCCCTCAAAAGTTCTTGATTTTGCAGGGTGTTTTTTATCATTCTCAAAAGTTCCTCTTTAAAAAAAAAAAAAAAATCTCTCACAAGGGCTTTCAAACAGTTTGTCGTTGAGTTGCGTCGAAAGTTCCACCCATGTCAAGGGGGTATTGGAAGAAAGAGAAAGGTCTGACTAATCCGCCGCTTGTTTTCGTGAGCGGTTTCTGAGCTGAGAAATCAACATGCTTATCCGTGTAAGGTTCCAATCTTTTTAACATCTCCCAACTCATCACCCCTGTTTTGATTCGTTTTCCCCTGCAACAGGAAGCCTACCGGTGGACGGGGGAGTACAATAGAGGGGCAGAGGCGATGCTTCTAAAGAGGCTGAGGCAACGAGGCTGTCAGCTACAAGTGGCAGAGCAGTTGAGAAAAAGGGCCCTGCAATAACGAGGGGTTGAGGGGGAAGGAGCCCTGCAATAACGAGGGGCTGAAGGGGAAAGAGCTCTGCAGTAACGAGGGGCTGAGGGCCTGCAATTACCTTGAGAGGGTAAGGTGAGGAGGAAGGGGGCGTGCAGGCGCTGCTCTGTGTGGAGTTGATTGAGAGCCCCACCCAACTTTTGACAGTGCATGTCTGCTCCACCCTGCTCTGCTCTGGTCCTTTTTGTTTGGGCCACAAGCTGCTGGCTACAGCCGTCCAGTCCAGGAGCGTTATCCTGCACTCGGACATTCTGGGGCAGCTGCAAACACGTGAGGGGATGGATGGGTCGATGGGGGGGAAGGGATGGGAGGGTGGGAACATCAAGATGTGGGAAGGAGAGGGGGGCTTGGGCTCGGCATAAGGTATGAGGCTGTTGTAATCAGAGTGGCTGGCTGCGTAAGGGTATATGGTACAGTAGTAATGGTTGGTAGTAGTACCTACTACCTACCTTCCTGTAATGTTATGAGCATATTTTTTCTATCAAGGGGTCGTCCGTAGGAGAGAATCGAGCTGGCTATTTACTTCCCCCCCTCCAATGGCAATTGATACAAACTGTTTCTGGATATTTATAGGCCATCAGACATCAAGTCTATGTAGGAAGGACTAAATATAAAGAAAAAGCCACTCAGACCATATTTTGGCAAACACTAGGGCGTCAGATTGGTTTAGGGAGGCTGATTGCTCAGGGTCGGCCATGTGAGTATCAGAAACAATGAACGATTAAGCATGAGACAGTACAAGGGAATATATGCAAGTGTGTTGTACCCTCTAAGCACAAACCTAAATTGTCTATGCTAACATACTAAGATGTATTTGACACACCCCCTAGACCATATAGGGGCAGTGCCTAGCAGTAGAACAAGCAGCTCAGGGTGGCACTACTAGTCCAGCCTCTGAGGCAAGTGTCTAAAGACCAGTCAAAAGGAGTACAGACTAAGACAAGAGCAAGACCAGGGCGGCACTACTAGTCTAGCCACTGGGAGAGGCCACAAAGCCAGTCAGGGTAAAATATATATAAAGGACTGTACACAATCAAGGCCCTAGCAGGTGAGAGGCAACAGGAACAAGACCAAGCTGTACACAGTGCCGCTGATGATATTTAGGCGCAAGTTCCTTCGTAAAGATATCAGCTGTGTTGGCACCAGAGGCCAAATGTACTACGCGGGCCTGGCGATGCTGCTGTAGCTCGCGCAGGAGGAAGTACCGTAGCTGGATGTGCTTTGCTTTGCCCTCCAGTCGAGGCTCCTGACACCGGAGGATCATAGCCCTGTTGTCAACGTACAGGACTGGGGCACAGCTAGGCCGCTCACCTAAGTCAGTGAGTAAGACAGTCAGCCAGCGGAGCTCCTGTGCCGCCATGGCACCGGACGTAGATCTCGGCCTCAGAGCTTGACTGGGCAACAGACGAGGAGCGAGTAGCTCTCCACGAGACGGCAACCTGAACCAAGGCTAAAGCAATAGGTCCGTGCGGCAGTCCTAAACCCTGTGAGGATCTGAGGTCTCGGCGTGGTCTGCCCAAGAAGCGTCTGTGTGCCCAGTAAGGACCACAAGCCTGCGTCCTCCCAGCACTAACCCCATGCCTGATGTACTTGTGAGATAACGCAAATCCCTCTTAGCGGCAGACTAGTGCTGAGGTCCGTGTCTGCCTGTGGCCACAAAGCAGGCCAGATGCTGAGAGGTATGCGAGATCTGGACGAGTGCAAGTCATCAGGTACATGAGGCAACCCACCAGCTCTGCGTAAGGACCACTGGGCTCTGCCGACTCCTCAGGAACTGGAGTAGAGAGCCAGTGATCTACTGGAAGTGGTGTGGGCTGTGCGGAGGAGAACTGAAGACCGAACCTCTGAAGGACCTGGCGCACCAAGTGTGACTGGGTGAGGTGATGGTGCGCGCTGCTCTGTCCCTAGAGATGTGCAGGCTAAGGTAGCGGCGCAGCTCTCCTAGGTCAGTGCAGGTGTGTCTCCTCAGCAGCTCAGCCTTCACAAAGGCCAGCGCGGCAGTGTTTGCAGTGGCAAAGACCAGATCGTTTACGTAAACAAGGATGTAGAACGGAGTCTGGCCAAAACGAACGAAGAGCGAGGGGTATGCAGAGGATGGAAAGAACCGCAGGTCTGCAAGGGTAGCACGCAGCGTGTCGTGCCACTTCCGGGGCGCCTGCCGCATGCCATAGACTGGGCGCCGCAGGAGCCACTGGGTCCCAAGAAGGAAGGTACCAGTGAAGCCTTTAGGGCGGCGCATGTAGACCTGCTCGTGTAGACTGCCCTGAAGAAACGCAGTGGAGAAGTTGAGGGAGTGTAACTCATAGTGACGCTGTGCTGCTACGTGTAGCAGTGCCCGAAGAGTAGTCATCTTCGGGGTCGGGGCGAAGTCTGAAACAAGTCCACCCCTCACGCTAACTAAAGCCTCTAGCCACGTAGCGCCTCTTGAACACAGGCGGCTCTCCAGGAGGGTGCTTCACCTTGAAGAGCCACCGGCCATCGACTACGTTCACCCCAGGTGGGGGAACTGCGCCGACGTAGGTGTCGGTGGATCTCCAAGATGCCATCTCCTGCTCCATGGCAGCTATCCGCTGAGAGGCCGAGGTCCCGAGGTCGCCTCAGCGTAAGTGCGAGGGGTCGGGATGTCGAAAGCGTTTGGGTCACCTCAGGGACTAGCAGCATGGAACAGAGATGGGGAGCAGCCTCGGGCAGGAAAGCAAGCTCGTACTTGTGGTCCTCCAGGACGTCACTGCCGAGGGTAGGAGCACCCCCGACAGACGGAGGACAGGCAGGGTCAGAGACTAGAGCGGTGGCGCAGTCAAGGCGGCGGGTATAGGAGAAGTCAGCGACCGCAGTGACAAGAGCGTCAAGACACGAGACCGGAATAGACTGGTCGGTAACGAGAGAGGCAAGGACCCGAGGAAAAAGAGGACGAGTGGCACAAGGTAGTCAGACAGAGGAGGCGCAACAACAGGGAGGACGGAGGAGGCGACGTGGAGGGGAGGACGAGATGCGTGGGAACGAAGCAACATAGGGTGAGAGCGCGGGACAGGGAGACGGGGCGAGCACAGGAGGGACGGCGAGACCAGACGTGAGACGGAGGAGTCGGGTCAGGAGACAGAGGAGGGGACACAAGAGGGGAAGGGGGAAGACGAGCCGGAGTCGAGTCGGGGAGGGAACACAGGGCCTAGACAGGAAGAGGAGGAGACGGCAGGAGAGGCACAGACGCGTGGTCAGGGGACGGAAGGCCGAGCAGGCGAAGGGCTGACACCGGCGGTGACTGCTGCTGCGGCGGCACGACACTGACACCGGGACCGCAAGCTGCTCAACGGCTACCTCCGGAACACTCGACTCCACACCCCCAGAAGGAACACCCCCAGAGCCCGAAACCCCTCCAACACCGGTACCACCCCTAGGCCCACCGGGACAAGCCAAGACAGGAGCCCGGACTAGAACCCACCCAAACGCCAGCACCCCAGAAGGCAACAAACTTCTGCTGCGACGGCGGCGGCGACGGCTGCTGCGACGAGGGCTGCGACGACGGCAGCGGCGACAGCGGCTGCGGAGGCGGCGGAGGAGGAGACACCTGGGGAGGGGCAAGCGGCGAGGATTGCGCCTCAGGTCCTCCAGGTCAGTAGAATCCTCGACCGGGACAACCGACGTGAGGGGGTGACGTGGGACACACCAGACGGGGCAGGGAGGGGGAGAGGGAGGGGCAAGGGCGACCAGGGGGGGAACCAGGAACAGGGGGGGAGTAACCGGGGGCCCACGGTGGGGAAAGCGGTGGTAGAAGGAGACGGACTCGTCAAAGGTGACGTCACAAGAGTGAAAGAAACCGTGAGATGGCGGGTGGTAGAAGTGCCAGTCAGACGCTTCAAGGGGGAAACCTTGGAAGTCACAGGGGAGGGTGCGGGCAGTGAGCTTGTCCGAACCAGAGGCACGAACGTGAGCAAGGCAGCCCTAGACATGGAACGCAGACGCGTCACCAGGAGACCCGGTCCAGAGGAGGGTCGGCGAAACCTGCGGCCGCTGAGGGTGCGACCACAGGTTAAGCTGGTGAGCGGCGTAGTGAACAGCGAACAGCCACAGAAAATGGGGTGCACCGGCATGGATCATGGAGGTACGAGCCACCTCTGTGACCAAACCGATGCGTCGCTTAGCGACCCCATTCTGCTGCGGGTAGTCCGGCAGGCGTGAACGTCTGGGTGATGCCCTCCGCACGACAGAAACGACCAAGGACACCAGAGGAAAACTCGCCACCACGGTCGGAGTGGAGACGCAAGACAGGAAGACCGCGGTGGACACGCGCAGAGACAAGCCACGGGATAAGAACGTCAGGCACGTCCGCCTTCCGCTCCCGGGAAAAGGCCGTGGTGAAGCATGTGTAGTCGTCGACAAGCACGAGGAAGTAGCGCTCTCGACGCAGCCCATGGACGGGGGCGGGGCCCCAGACGGACCCTGGGAGACCTAGGACCAGACCGTGCTGAGACATGTGACGCAGACGCGTGAGTGTAGGGTGACCTAGACGGTGGTACCACAGGAGTGTCAGGTGAGTATGCGACCGACAGGAGCAGGCCGCAACAACCTGAGGAGACGCACCTACCTGAGGAGCCGTCCCAACGGGGGGGGGGGGCGCGGTGTCCAGTGTGAACAGGCCGGACACCGGGTCCCGGGGGAACGTGGTGAGAGGAGCACCAGTGGCGGCCTCGATACAGATAGCGTACCACTCGTGACCGGGGAACGTAGTGGTGATGCCAAGGTCCTGGAGGAAGCCGACACGAACTAGGTTCCTGGTGAACGAGGGGATGTGTAGGCCTGTAAGAGAGCCCGAAGGAGCCGCCGGACAGGAAGGGTCGGGTTTTGGGCATGGCATGTTTTTTAATCCTGACTAATCAAGCCTACATTTTTGTAGTATCTGATCCTTGTTTCGGATCGGACTTCATGGCGTACAATGTACCTCCGTGATTTTGGCGGAGGACTCTGAGCGGATTTCTACGTCCTCACATCAGACTAGCCTTGCGTTAGACTCGTCATTTTGCCCGAACTGCTGCTCAGATTTCGAATCCTCGTTTCAGACTTGGGCGCACGTGCCTAGCATCGCGAAAGTCCCAAGGGATGCCACGTGCATGCGTGCCACTCACAAATGCAGCTTCGTCCGAACCAGCACCTCGTAATTTGCCTGAAATGTTATTTGTGCTGTCGTAGGGGCTGCGAACTTTCCCTGTGGGTTTCCAGTTTAACGAAATTCACGCTGCAATTCGCCGCTTTATGCTGGCTGGTCTGTGTTTTTGGCTAAGGCCCAGTCACACTCCTCACACCTGCTCCAACTCACGTCAAACTACCTACGTCTTGGCGGACCTGTCACCCCCCTCACACCTGCTCCAGCTCGCCTTGCGTGATTCTGGTCAAGGACCACTCACGCCCCTCACACCTGCTCCAGCTCACCCTAGTAGAAAGGATTCTGTTTCAGGGCGAATTTCGACTAAGGCTGATTCGTCAGACTCGCTAAAATAAGAACAAACCGTTTTTAAGGGCTTAAAAATTGGGAACACATAAATTTCAGGTTTGATAAAATTCAAAATGTGAAAAAAACAAGGTATGAAAAAAAAAAAACCCCGGATATACAGGCTTTCACGCATTTGTG